AGACAACACAGTTAAAACAGTTAACAACATTAACAAACAGTACCTTTAACAACAGTTAACAACTAGTTCAAGCAAACTGCAGCAGCTTGCTACAAAATGCTTACGAGTGCAAAAAAAGTTTTAAAAAAAAGTCAAATCAAAAAGAGTTACATTGAACGTCCTTGAACGTCATTGAAGTAATCTTATTCATTACCACCAGCTCTCGACTAAAACAATGACTTTTGGCAACACTAATGTAACTGTCTCTAACCACTAATGCAGACGCAGCCCTTTTCCATTAACCAATAGCAACGTTTATTGTTTTGGTTATATTTCAGCATTATCCTGACATTTATCAACCAACAACTTCTAATTAACCTGCAGGTATAATTGTACAAATTCTGTAGGCAATAATTTTCAATAAAACCATAAATGATTAATGTCTACGATGCACAGGTTTTCATAGAAACTAAAAACACCAGCTCAACATATTTGTTCTACCCTAAAAAAACAAAATGCCGTCGACGGCGCACTTTGTACTGACTAACGGCCGTCAAACCAGCAGCGCCTGGATCTGCTCCACTCTGATGGAGCGATCAGGATGGGAGCTGATGGGAGTAGACGCCGCTGAGGCACCACAAGCGGAAGCGAGGCCGGCAGTAGGGGTCGAGGCAGAGCGGCGAATGTTGTCGAGACGGGTAGCAGCTCGCGCAGGCCAGCTTCAATACTGCGACACAGCGAACGTGCATGCCTGCGTGCGAGATCTGTACCGTGTGAGGAGAAGAAGGGAACATGGATTAACCATGCTAATACACACGCACGCGTGTACAGGTACGCATGCACATGCTCACGAGCACACGTACGCATGGGCGATGGTAGCACAGTATGTGTGAACCATCTCTCGCTAGGAATAAATTCAATAGGTGCTTTTATTATGCACACTTTCTCGATCCATTCAATATATATAATAATACACGCGACGCACCACGCCCACGCCACGCAACGCACTACACACACGCACTAGGCACTATAAGGAAAGTATATATGCTTTCCTCAATGCACATTTCCAATTTATGTATCTTGTAACATTAGCTATCACCAGCTTTTCTTTCTATCCCCATCTGTCATCTGCACTCATTATTATTATAATAATATTATGTTTGGTTATTGTACGCGTAATAATACTATATTTCATTTTCCACTTATTATTATGTATAATAATATTTATGTTCGGTCTCACTCTGCGTCATAATACTACATTGTAATTGTGTTTGTTTACCATGGTAACAATTATATCATTGTTATTGTTACAATGGGTAATGCCAAGTAATACTGATAGTTGTTATTGCTTAGCAATGGTAATGCAATAATACTATATTGTTATTGTTACGATGCGTAACAACACTACTTGTTGTTCTGCGCGCTTTCGCACCTTAGATTGCTGGGAGCATCTGCCAAAGCGTCGACACGCTGATAATACTATATTCCGTTATTGTTACAATGGCTAATGCACATAATACGATATTGGTTATTGTTACTACTGGTAAGCAATAATTACTATATTGTTATTGTTACAATGGTAATGCAATATACTATATTGTTATTGTTTACTATGGTAACAACACTACATTGTCGTCTGCGCTTCGCACCTTGATGCCGGCGAGCATTCCCGTCGTCGACACGCTGATAATACTATATTGTTATTGTTACAATGGTAATGCAATAATACTATATTGTTATTGTTACTATGGTAATGCAAAAATACTATATTGTATTTGTTACAATGGCTACATTGCAATAATAGCTATATTGTTCTATTGTTCTCTATGGTAACAACAACTTACATTGTGCTCGCTTGTCGCACTCTGTGATCGCCGGCGAGCATTCCCCTGTCGGTCGGACACGCTGATAATCTATATTGTTATTGTTACAATGGTATGCAATAATCTATAATTTGCCTTATTTTACTATTGGTAACAACACTACACTGCGTCGCTCTCGCGTGGCACCTTGATGCCGCGAAGCATTCCCGTCGTCGCAGACGCTGAAGTCGAGGCTACGGCGATCGTGTCAGCAGACGAGGGCGCCTTTGAACCGGCTGCCAGGCAGCCTTCTTCTCGGGCTGTCGTCGGCGGTGTCGGAAGAAATCGTCGCCATGTTCCTGTCGTGCCATCACGGCCCTGCGATCTGCTCGGGGGCGACCAAAAAGATAATTATTATTATTGTAATTAATAAATAATGATAACGTTATTGAATAAATGTTTTACAGATTTGAACAGATTTTTACAGATTTTCTACATTTGAACTGTGAGGCAGATGGTTTAAAATTTACACGTGAAATATTTTTACACGTGAGGCAGAATTCATGTAATATTTAATATATTAAAATTTTTCCGTGTACGGCAGAACATTTAGCATCTTACACATTAATATTTACGAGGTAATATTTACACATTGACGTTTCACACGCGAGGCAGAACGTTGAAAATTTACACATTCATGTTTTACTCATGAGTTAGAACATCTCTAATCACACACACGCTTGGTTAGGATAGTAGTTCTCTTAGGTTCTGTTAGCGAAACTCTTCTGACGACGTGTGGGAGAAACGCATCAGCAGCATCAGCTCGACTCACCTTTGACCTGCTCAGACCGAGACTCACCTTTTGACCTGAGATCTCACCTTTGACCTCGAGACTCAGCCTTGCCTGCTTGCACACTGAGACTCACCTTTGACCTGAGACTCACCTTTGACCTGAGACTCACCTTTGACCTGAGCAGTTTAATCACACTTTGCGTGGAGAGAATCGCGACGGACTTGCTGACTTCCACGATCATCTTCACTGTCGGCAGGTAGTGGTCAGATTCTGGGGTGGGGCGGTCTCTCACGCACACCGGCACCACTCCTGTAAACAACATACAAACAACGTGTAAACAACACTCCTGTAAACAACATATAAACAACACACCAGTAAATAACATACAAACAAAATATAAATAACAATCCTGTAAACAACATGCAAACAACATATAAACAATACACCAGTACACAACTTACAAACAAAATATAAATAACAATCCTGTAAACAACATACAAACAACAACATATAAACAACACACCTTACGGACCACATATAAACAACTCCTATAAACATCACCTTGGAGCAAGTGAGCATAGAACGAGTAAACTAAGTGAGTAAACAAGGCCCAGTAAGGTAAAACTTTTTGCTTTACCACCCAGAATTACACACGTCAACACCATTAACAAACATTCTCCACATTAATGCCATTCTCCTCGGAGTTGCACACCTCTGCTCAAAACTCGGCACGCCGCGACAGAAGCTAAATTAAACTGCTTTGCCATCGCGGCTGCACGATATTTTAACCGTTCCCGGGGGGTCGCGCAGTAGTCACCGACTCGTTTGAGGTCGTTCGAAAGGCACTTACTCCTCACTACGAACATATTTGTTGACGAGGGATAAACCCCAAAGGATTCCAAAAATTAGAGACCTAAAATCCTCTGCCATCGGTTTGAGTGCCGACTAAAAGCGATCGCTTTGTAAATGGCCGACGTAAGTGAATCAGTGCAGCCATGTTTCGTATGCAAAATTGATGAAACCACATCTGGGTCTAGTCTACACACAAACAGTGGCTATCAAGACAGACAAGCCTCATCACGTAGCGATGTACATACAGTCAACCTAGTTTCTACACAAACATTCTTTAAATTGACTGCGTCACGAATTTTCTATGGTGTATATTTGTCAAATTTTTGTTGCCATTTTTTACATTAAAAGTAAGTACTAACGGGACAGACTAAATGTATCCTCAAATTCTTACCTGATAAGATTGTTTCTCAACTAGTTAAAAATCCAGAAAATCTGGACGATTTGATATTATGATCCTGACATTAATTGCTTGCTATGGGCTATGTATGAGTCACGAGTGTATGTGTACATCGAACAATATTATAGTAAACTAAGAAGTATAATGCAGCAATTTAACCATAAAAAATAAACAGAATTACTTACATTTTGTAAAAAAAATGGGCATAATTTTTTTTACTTTTACTATTTACGGTGACGTAATCACTTTAATAAGACAGACAAGCATTGCGACATACCGATGTAGAGGCATCCGTAGAAGGCAGCTATGAGGTCGATGCCGGGTGGGAAGATGAGAGCTACGTGATCGCCTATGTTGAGTCGTCCTCGCTCTAGCATGAGACAGCCGATACGCTCAGCCTTCTTATGAAGCTGCTGGCAGGTGATCTGAGCTAGGAGGAGGAGGAGGAGGAGGAGGAGGAGATGAAGGAGGTAGGAGCATAAGTGGTCAGCATGCAGCGAGTTGTCTCCGTAGATCATGTAATAGCCGTTCGAGTTGTGCGGACTGTACACCCAGATCTACGCCAGGGGGAGGAGGGAAGGAAAGAAGTACGTGATTAGAGAACGAACGTCAGATTTTAGCCAGTAAGCTATTCCATTAATCTAGTAATCTATTAAACTAATCATAAAATGCAATGGGAAAATGTGGCCTGTTCACCCTGATCTGTACCCGAGGAGGAGGAGAATGAGGAGAGATGTACAAGATGAGAGATTTGACTGCGGGATTTTAGCCGAATATAGTTTAACGAGAGTAAAATGAGCAAAAAAACATGATTAGAGAATCAGCACGGGATTTTAACCAGTAAGATAATTTTGATTGAATGAGAGATCTGGGTGAGGAGGAGGAGGTAGAAGAGGAGGACAAAAACACTATTAGAGAATGAATGCAGGGTTTTAGCCAGTAAGCTAGTATAATTCAATGAGGTTAAAATCGGCCGTTGAGCGCAAAAATCGTATTGCTTCGCAAAATGCAATGGGAGAATGTGGCCTGTTCGCCAAGATCTGCTCTGCGGAGAGAATATCAAGATGAGAGAATGACTGTGGGATTTAAGCCAGTAAGCTAGTTTGTGCATAGCAGTGGTTGTGATAGGAACGCTCGTGGAACCAGGCCTATCTTCTTGTTAGCAAGTACAACTAACCTCCTAGCTCTCTTGGTACTCACCTCTCCTAGATGGGAGTCTCCACATTGACCTTTCGTTTCCGGATTAGCTATGACAGTCTTCGTTCCAGGCAACAACTGAAGATAACAGCAGGGCAGATAGATATAGACACAGATATACATATAGATATAAATATACTATAGTTAAAGAGAAACTTATTGGCAGCCTGGCTTAACTGGCAAATTAATTACTTTTTTAATCAGACGTTTAAACCGAAAGATATTGATATTCGTGAATGTCACTTGCTCTGAACCAATCAGAAGACATGGTTTATTCGGTGAATGCATGGTTTCTCGTCTCTCAGGGCGTAGTGTCTCATCTCGTGCATCTCTCCTCAGACTCTCTCGCTCTTGGTTTCTCACGCTAATAGCTGACCATCTCATGCCGATGTGCAATCAGCCCGCTGCCGCGTTCCGCGAGTTGCTATTATTGTCACTTTCCCACCCAGCCCTTTAACCAAATACATTAAGTGGTAGCTACGATCATATTAAAATCTCATGAGAGCACAGCAACACATAGAGAGGCAAAGCAACAGATGCGAAAGAAGGAGCGGGAATGGCTTGCGCTCGCGAAGCCCGTGGCTCTGGATAATGTGTGAGGATGACGAAGCGGAGAACTTTAGTACACTCATGGCACAGGGAGCTAACACGTAAGCAACTCATATATACAGTCCAGGGGAGTGCGAAGTAATCGCAGTCCCGGTGGAGCATCAGCGAGAATACCTGAAGCGAGACGGCAGCTGGTATTACGTTGCCTCCGGATCCTGATATTTGAGAGCCATAGACAGTAAGGCAAAAGCGAGTCCGTGTGAGTGACCACTGACTCTGGCTTATAAGAGTACTAAGA